TGCTCTATTAAATGTAATCTTATGCAATCTCAAAATGAATATTAATTTTTTAACTACATAATGTTGTAATGCTAAATGTATTTAGGCCAAATTGAATAGAATTTTAATATCTGCCATTTTTATCGGTTAATGCCATATAAAATATCATATACAGTAGATATTTTAATAATATTCATAGAATATAACTGTAATACCTGTAATTCTATTAAAACTCCGCCAGTGATGCCATTAGCTTTTAGTATAAACAGGCTAGTTAAACTTTAAAACATGAGGCAAACTGCTTTTAATTTTTATGATATGCTATTCGCATCCAACAGAGACCGACAGCCAAAGAGCTTCTGAAACACAAGTTCATCACCCGCTACACCAAGAAAACCTCATACCTGGCAGAGCTCATTGATCGATACCGCCGCTGGAAGTCAGAGGGCCACGGGGACGAATCAAGCTCTGATGACTCTGACATGTATGTGTGTGCTTTACATTCGTAGATGAGCGATCAGCAAACCTGTGAAGTTTGCGTACAGTACGTTTACTCTGTGTATTTTCACTCAGGGATGGGGAGGGGGATGACAGGGACCAGTGTCCCATGTGGACTTTCCCCACTGTGCGGCCCACTTCCATGAACAAGTTACAAAGAGGTTTCAATCATTTAGACAATAAGGTAAATATGTTCTGAAGTCAGCAAAGCCAACACAAAAGCAGCACAAAATCTGTACTATATAGAGGGCATAAAGGGTGGTTAAACAGACTTTGTAGTACCACAGAGGCAGCATATGTCTACAAAGGAATCTTATTTGCGGTAAATTAAAGTTGCATCAGAGCTGCCTTTGATACTATGTGTGAAATGGGACAGATCTGGCAATGTTTAATCTGATTTTTATACTGTATTACATATTTCAGAGCCTCCTTAAAAAATGTAAACATTTTATGCGAAGAGAGTAAGTGTAAAAGACTTAATTGTAAATATTTTTTAGTTTAAAATCATGTACAGTCTTGCGTATAGGGGAGCCATATTGTGATCACATGACCAGCTGAATACTGGTCTTATACATTGCAAAAGTGCCTGTCCACTTTTCAGCCATCTTGGTTCAAGAAGTGTTTTCCAATAGTGATTTAAAAAAAAGTCTTTGAGACTTACAAGTTATGAACCAAACCAGCCAGCTACAAGAAAAAAAATCACAACATTATAAACTTTAATTTGAAGCACAGACAATATTAGAAAATTGAACAAAACAAACAGAGGCACAAGACTGTGTACTGAACAGCTTTAATGAGGGAAAGAACACTAAAATCCCATGAAGAATCACAAATGTCAATTTACGTAAAAACAATGTAGATATATAAAAAAAACTATATGTAAAGATGTTAAATATATATTTATTGTTTAAAATCAGTTCCCCTATGGAGAAAATTGATGGGATTTTTACTTTCGGAAGCCTGACGGTTGCACTCTATAGTCGATTAAAATATTTAGCCCTAGTACTGAGCCTTGCGGTACACCATACCAAACGTGTGATCCATATGACATTTCTTTGTTTACTGCTACAAATTGATAACTGTCAGATAAGTATTCAATTCCATTAATGCCATCATAATTTTTGAGCCTACCCAAGAGAATGTTAATAGTATCAAAGGCAGCACTGATGACCTGTAATACAAATTTTTTATTGAATATGATCAGTTTCTTTTCTGATTTGACTTTGACAGTTCGTTTGGAATTCACCCGTAGTATAACAAATACATCTCAAATGTCATCAAAATGCAAACTTGCAAAAAACAACCCTATTAAAAAATTTCATATACAGGTGCATCTCAAATTAGAATGTCGTGGAAAAGTTCATTTATTTCAGTAATTCAACTCAAATTGTGAAACTCGCGTATTAAATCAATTCAATGCACACAGACTGAAGTAGTTTAAGTCTTTGGTTCTTTGAATTGTGATGATTTTGGCTCACATTTCACAAAAACCCACCAATTCACTATCTCAACAAATTAGAATACTTCATAAGACCAATAAAAAAAAATTTTTTTAGTGAAAGTATGTTCATTTACTGTACATGTACTCAATACTTGGTTGGGCCTCCTTTTGCATGAATTACTGCATCAGTGCGGCGTGGCATGGAGACAATCAGCCTGTGGCACTGCTGAGGTGGTATGGGAGCCCAGGTTGCTTTGATAGCGGCCTTCAGGTCATCTGCATTGTTGGGTCTGGTGTCTCATCTTCCTCTTGACAATACCCCATAGATTCTCTATGGGGTTCAGGTCTGGTGAGTTTGCTGGCCAATCAAGCACAGTAACACTATGGTCATTTAACCAACTTTTGGTACCTTTGGCAGTGTGGGCAGGTGCCAAGTCCTGCTGGAAAATTAAATCAGCATCTCCATAAAGCTTGTCAGCAGAAGGAAGCATGAAGTGCTCTGTACAGATTTTGAAGTCGCCTCTGGCTTGCTTAGTTGGGGACACTTCATTTCCAGCGTTATCGTTGACATGATTGCAAAGATATTATTTAAACTGAGCTGGATGTTGACATCACTGAATTCAATGATGAACTATCTTTAACTGAAAAATTTTTTGTGAAATGTGAGCCAAAATCATCCCAATTAAAAGAACCAAAGACTTAAACTACTTCAGTCTGTGTCCACTGAATTTATTTTATACACGAGTTTCACAATTTGAGTTGAATTACTGAAATAAATGAACTTTTCCAAGACATTCTAATTTATTGAGATGCACCTGTATGTGTGTGTATATATATATATATACATATATACACACACACACACGTTATCATTTATTATATATATGGGGTGCAATTTAAAAAAAGAAAAGTAAATACAGCTGAAATTATTATTTTTTTTTTTATAACAGACATCAGACGTTATGAAGAGGCAGCCAAAGTCACCATCTCTAAAAACGTTCATCACACCCATCTTCAGAGAGGTAAAGAATTCAAAAACGTACATTTATGTAAGTGAGCCTGGACCTCCTGCTTTAACGTCAAGTCAGAACACGTGGATTATGTTCTGTATGCAGCTGAAGGAGAAGCGGCGTGTTCGCGGGAGTGGTGTATGTGCCCTGGAGGAGCTGGAAAACGCATTCAGCCTCGCAGAGGAGTCCAGCCCTGGAATCTCAGACCGTTTACTCAATAACATTATGGAGAGAGTGTGCAGGTAAACACATTTAATATAGTCTCCCCTATGTGTCCGTACACACAGTATCTAATTGTATTTTGTCATTTTCTGATTATGCCAGTTTTTCAGGTCATGCTGATTCAATGCTGTAAGATATTGTGCTGCGCTGTGGCACTTGCATGCAGTACTAAATCTTCCGCAGGAGTGAACTCTGAGACTTCCTTTGTCTCAACCCTGCAGGTTTACACTCAACGGTAACAGCATGCCTTCAAAACGATGAGGTCCGTCTGACTGCTGGTCAGCTCCATCCGATGGAAAGACTATCCTGATCTCTTCATGAGCCACCTCCTGCTCCTTCAGCTGAACACCAGTCATTCCATTCCAGCTTGTATTATGAGATGTTTTTACAGTTTACTTTATAGAATTTTGAAATGTCTAACTGAAATGTAAAATATGAAATGACGAACCAGGTTTGTGTGTATTCCATTAAATTACATTAAGTACATTGAAATGTAAAAACTAGTGTAAAAAGTGTTTATTTCTCCCGTTTGCATTTAGGACATAAATTACAAGGTGAAATGTAGGAAAAAGCTTAAAGGGATAGTTCAGCCAAAAATGTAAATTGTTATCATTTACTCACCCCCATGGCATTCCAAACCCATTAAGACTTTCATTCAGCTTCGAAACACAAATCTGAGAGAATTCCGTGCCTTCATTAAAAAAAATGGAACCAAAACTTTGAAGCTCCAAAAAGTTCATAAAGAATTGTTAAAGTAATCCTTTTCTTTTTTTAATTGTTTTATAATATAAACAGATTTAAGTTGGGCTTTTATTCACATATAAATATTGATCAACGCACATACACTTGAGCTTGTTTACTATATTTGACGTGCTCTGTGTATGTATGTATGTTGATGAATGCTTATGTGAATAAAAGCTTAAATTAAATCCTATATATATTAGTTTATATTATACAACACAAAGCAGGGTTATTTTAGTATAATTTATGAATTATTCAGAATTAGCTTTTATTTTTATATTTTCAGTTTCACATTTTTATTTATTTTTGTTCTGTCTCTTTTATAGAAAAATACATTTATAGAAAACGTTTTATAGTAATTTTTGTAAATGAGAAATTTTGCCTTGCCAATAAACTGAAACTAAGTTTTTTTTTTTTCATCAAATATTTATTTTAGCCTTATTTCAATTAACAAACGATTTTTATTTATTGAAATAGGACTTGAATTAATTACTTTTACAATGTTTTTATGAACTTTCTTAAGTGTTAAAGTTTTGGTGTAGTGATCTTTCAGTGAAAGGACCGAAATCTCAGTTTTCATTCAAATATCTTCATCTTGTGTTTTAAATGATGACCAAAGGTGGGTTACTAGTAACGATTTTTATTTTTATGTGAACTAACCCTTTAAATGGGACAAAAAGAAGAGAATTAAATGTTTACACAGTTCAGTTTTATTTGATAGCCCTTCAATGTCATAACATGAAACTTACCACATGCGGTGTGTACAGGAGCAACGCCTCAGCAACATGCTACACAAAATAAATAGTAAAAGCTGGAGAGAAGCGATTTCATCAAAACTCAGTTTAGTGCCTCTCGGAATGAGACAGGAAACTGAGGTCTTTGAGTAAACTCCCTTCTCTCGTGCTTAGCAATCCGGGATGGAAAACAACCGTTCATCCAACCCTCCCTATTGCCAGATACTGCAATGAGGAAGAAAATGATTCCAGTCCTTGCATAAAATGTACAAAAAAGGGTGGAGACCATGAGCCCACATAGTGCATTAGTGAATTAAGAGGGATTGACTAACCCTTTAAATGGGACAAAAAGAAGAGAATTAAATGTTTACACAGTTCAGTTTTATTTGATAGCCCTTCAATGTCATAACATGAAACTTACCACATGCGGTGTGTACAGGAGCAACGCCTCAGCAACATGCTACACAAAATAAATAGTAAAAGCTGGAGAGAAGCGATTTCATCAAAACTCAGTTTAGTGCCTCTCGGAATGAGACAGGAAACTGAGGTCTTTGAGTAAACTCCCTTCTCTCGTGCTTAGCAATCCGGGATGGAAAACAACCGTTCATCCAACCCTCCCTATTGCCAGATACTGCAATGAGGAAGAAAATGATTCCAGTTCTTGCATAAAATGTACAAAAAAGGGTGGAGACCATGAGCCCACATAGTGCATTAGTGAATTAAGAGGGATTTGAAACACATCAGACTAGCTGAGCTCATGTCGAGATGATAGCTGCTTACAGTATATTGTTATGAGTACACAAAGCAACACTGCTTAATGTGTGGCCGACTAACTTTGGCCAACCTTTTCAGGCTCATGCAAGACTTCTTCAGGTCTTTGGTTGGACCCTGTAGAGCATGTTGAACGGACAAAGCCAAAAGCCTTATAAATACAACTAATAATCCAAAAAGAGGCTAAATAAACCTCTCAAATCAGATGTCGTACAGACCTGTCTTCATAAAGTGAAGCCGATAAGTAAACATAACACTGTCACACATGCTGTGGAACTTCATCATGCTACTAAAACAACAAATAACTCAACTGGCCTTCCAACAAAACGAGACCGCATCACATATATGTGTGTGATATGCCTCGCAAAAAATATTGGTAGTAAAAAAGAAAAGGAAAAATTTTTTGTTTATCAATAGATCATAGGGAAAGAACTTGTAAATTAATTATTAATATGCTTTTTTTTTAAATTCACAAATACAATATAATAAAAGGGGAACAGGCAGTTTTAGGCCGTTGATCCCAGTTTAAATTTTAGGATTTAGTGGCCGATCGAGAACATCTTGCATTGTTGTTTTAACTTCAACTTTGACAAAACTGGAACTTCACCAGAACCATTTCCTCTTCCCTGTGTGTAGAGGGCAGAAACTGAAAGAAAAGTGCAGTATTACACTGTGGATGAACTTCTTCCCCCATAAGGGGGTTAGTTTAGACTTGAGCTTATTATCTGTCAAGTATCCCAAAAATCTAAACTAGTGACATCTGTGAATACATCATTTAAAACATTACATTTAGTTTGGTTAGTCAATATTTTTTGGTCAGTCTTCACTTTAAAATAAATATCCGATTAGTTTTCATGCTGTGAGATCAAAAATCAACGGATCAGACCTTAAAAATCCCCTAAATAGTAACAGTCGCTTAATAATGACCTTCAAGACATGCTTTAACCTACGCTGGAAGAGGACAGCACATAATGTACAAGCCAATTCAGCTGCCTCATCTTCAAAATAACATTTCTATTCCTCTCGGATTCCTTCCTGTACCAACAGCTCACCTTCAGCCCTTTAAAAGTGCGAAGGTGCTCGATCATAGAACTCCAGTTTCTGAGCTGTGGCCCTGTAAACGTGCTCTCTGACCAACGTAACACTGTTTCGAAATCAGCAAGACACATTTTACAGCGCTAGTCCTTCATCTCACTTACTGCACCAGCTGGACTTAATACAAACCCTCTGTTTGTCAACACTCTTTATTCAGTAGTACTCAGTCATGATGTCCCAGGACAAATAATAGAAAGCATTTTTGTAGTCCCGTGGGACTAGATTTCTACTGAAAAAACTGGAGTAACAAGAGTCATTAAATATCATCCTAATGACAGATTCATCTTAGCAAAGACCTTAAAACCCGAATACAGCAATAAGTGTTACCTTAGCAAGATAAACACAAACATAACTTAATTCAGTCTAATGTATTTCTCTAAGAATTCTTTCAGTTTAATGTGGTTCTAGAAAAGCAAGCCCACTTTATGTTTCATTAGCGAGAAAACAAGAAGAAAAGATTTAGAGAAGAGAATTACAGAGTGCTTACTTTCCGACCAAATTCTTCGGTCCGAGGTTTCAATAAGCAGCTCAAACTCCCAGCAGGCAGAGAGCTAACAGTCCAGAGTCGAGAATCAAGTTATTATGATGATGCTTCTCAGAGCCACAAATCAGAAAGGATAAAGTGATGATGGTGTGTTTGGTCCTGGCAGACAGTGGGCCCAGCCCTCAGCTCCAGGAGATCAGTCTGACACACTCAGCTTCCCCCGTTCATCTCTGCTGGGCCTTTGGGTACAAGCAGACTCATGCGTCCCGCGGAGCTCGCTGCACTTTTGATCACCTCCATCCATCTGCAGACATCCCAGCATGTTTTAGCATACCAAATAATCTTTTGTTATAGAAGAAAAAATAACTAAGGCTGTTCATTTAGCATTAATAATAAATGAAAAAAATAAAACTTCAAAAGTATTATGCATTGAATTGTAATGAAATTATTTTGTATGTTTTTATTAGCAAGAATAAGCAATTATTTGCAAGTAATAATGACATACATTACTGTTCAAACATTTGGGGTCACTAATTTTATTATTATTATTTTTTTAAGTAATTAATACTTTCATTTAGAAAGGAAGCATCGGATTGATCAAAAGGCATTTATAATGTTATCGGCGCTAACAGCCTTGTGGGCAGTGCGCCAACATATAGCGCCGTTACGTTACTAGCATCCCGAGTTCGAGTCCCGGACCTTTCCCTATCCCACCCCCCTCTCTCTCTCTCCCGCTTCACTTCCTGTCACTTCTACACTGTCCTATACGATTGGGAAAGGTCCACGAGCCGGGATTCGGGATGCCCGAAGTGCAATGATGCTATATGTCGACCTGCTGCCCACGAGGCTATCAGCAGTTTCTTAATTTTTAACTTTCTATTCATCAAAGAAACCTGAAAAAAACGTATCACGGTTTCCACAAAAAGGAGTAGCACAACTGTCATCAACATTGATTATAATCATAAAAAGTGTCTTAAGCACCAAATCAGCATATTGGAATGATTTCTGAAGGATCATGTGACACTGAAGACTGGAGTAATGATGCTGAAAATGTAGCTTTGCCATCACTGGAATTAACACATTTTAAAATAAGTTATTTTAAATTGTATTAATTTTACAGTATCGCTCATTTTACTGTATGTTCATCAAATAATTGCAGCCTTGGTGAGCATAAGAGACTTCTTTCAAAAATTAATCTAATAAAATCTTACCGATCACAAACTTCAGGACGGCACTGTACATTAATTTGATAAATTACCAAATCATTAAAATGATACACTGAAATCAACTGACAGCCCTATGATTACGTAATTAATATGAAACAAAGAATATACATTTTTAAATAAATTATATTCTTTTTTTTTTATCCATACCTTTCAAATGTATACTCGCTCTCTGCCCTGAAGAAGTAAACATGGGATTTGAACTGCAGCTTGAAGACGTACTCCTTATGGATGCTATCCGAATCCCCTGGGGTGCTGACTGTGTAACCTAGCAACGGCAGACTGGCCAGGGGGAAGTCATCCTGGAACAAAAACAAGAATTCATTATAAATTATCCAGACCTTTAGACCTTCTACAGGAAGTTTAATCTTTCAGAATGAACATCAAATACATCAAACAGCTGTTATTACCTGGTGTGTCTTATAGAAGAACAGGCAGAAGTTGGTGAAGACGACCCAGAGTTTCTGCCAGCCGTTGCTGTTCTTGAACTTCCTCAGGAGGTAACCAGACAGCTGGTTCTGTAATGGGGGGCAACAGGAAGTTTTAAAATTCAACTGCTACAACACAGCAAGAACCCCTCATTCACAAAAGACCATTAGAGTTTAATGAAATTTACAGCTGTACAAAACACGGAAAGAATAAGCTAGGGCTGCACGATTATGACAAAAATCATAATTGTCGATTATTCCCTTGAAATTGTAATTGCGATTATTAATAACGATTATCACAATTTACATTGAATGATGTTTATACCATTGTTTGATGCAACTGCATGCCATATTTTTACATGAAAATAAACAAGCTGAAAACACTCACTTTAGTGCTTTTCTATAGTATTAAGCCTCCAATGTCAAATATACATCAGATTGGTTTCTTCTTTAAAGTATAAAAAAGGTAAAAATATGAATGGTATTATAATGTTATACTAAAACTAAAACAATGGAAAAATATAAGATAACATGTAGAAAAAAAAAACATATCTTAAGCGTGCAGAATAACATAAGTGGACTTCGAACGATTAATTGCCGCTTTGAACGATTACGTAATTGTGGCATCCATAATTGTAATTGCGATTAGAAATTCAATTAATTGTGCAGCCCTAGAATAAGCTGAAGAAGAGAGTACCACTTTTCCAAATGAGCAGTTAAAGAAAGAAATCATAATAGAAAAGTCTCAATTTCACTGGAAGAGCTTGAACTCTTCTACACATATTTCTTACGAGTCAGTGAGAAATCTCTAAAAATGGGTTACAATGAATTTGCAATGAAAGACCAAAGTCATCCAGTTTCAAAAAGAGTTGGTAATTCGATGTCCCGAGTGACAGAGAGAGCTGGTGACGCAAATGTACACATCTTAGTCTATATTAAAACCTAAAAGATATTTATTAACAAATCTCATAAATGATTAATTCATAAATACAGTATCATTTCATTTAAGGGTGTCGCACCACATGATATTTTAAAACATTTACTAGCCTTTCCTTGTCATAAAACAGTCAAATTATCTGTTATTTTGAAAAACTTTGTCACAGTCCTGAGGATGTTGTTTATATTTTTCTACAATTTGGTTGCACCACATGAAAAAAAGGTTGGTTAACTCAATTAAAAAAAATTTAATAAAAAAAATAATAGAAGTTAAGGACATATTTCTTAATGTTTATTTTTTTGGACAATTTTGATTTATTTAATGATTTTTCTTTGTGATATAAGGTCAGATGTATCATCAATCAGGCCTGTTTTGTAATATATAGCCCTACATAAACCACTAGATAGATAGATAGATAGATAGATAGATAGATAGATAGATATTTGATTTAATGTTAATGTATTTTTAAATAAATTAAAACAAGGATGAATTTAGATATATTTGATGTATTTTAATGTTTTGTGAAGTTTTCATATTCAAGTGAAGGTCTTCAAAACCTCATTGGTACCTGGTTCATGCGCAGATAATCATTGAGAGAAAGGTTCTGGTTTCGGTACCAGCACACATGAGTGATGGTGTTGGGTCTCTGGCCCTGACCGAGCAGGTACCGAGGGGGGAGCTCTGGAGACACGGCTGGAGAACTGAATACTGAGGGCAGGCGGGCAAATACAGCACAGGCACAGGAACAGATGTAAACAGGAAGGAGGACAGATAATGTGGTGCAGACAAAGTGATGAAGACAAAAAGAACAACAAGAAGAAAAAGAGAAGAAGAACAGAAGACACAAAGAGTGTTAGAAAGTTAGCTTTCAATCCCTAAGTGAGGAAAAAAAGACAGATCGGAAATTCTTCAAATCATATAAGAAATGTTATAAGAAATGAAGCATCCATGAAAATGTTCATTTATTCATTCAATTTCATTCCAAAAGGCAGTTACTGATGGACAAATAAAGAGGAAAAAAATGTTACAGACATAAAAACATGCAAGGGGAAGGGTGGAGAAGCTACTGGATGTGGCGTAACTGGAAAATATGAGGGTGAAGAAAAAGGAGACAGCAACAGAAAAAGATCCAAGAGTCTTTGCCCCTCATTCACAAGCTACGGTTGCAGTCCAGACCTCAACAGCCAGCCTCAGAGGTGTGTGTGTGCTTGTGTGTGTACATTTATGTCTGTAAAGCTCAAACTGGGTGAATCTCACAAAACCTCTTAAAGCATGAGTCAATTTTCACCCCACAACTGGTATTTAAACATTATTAAACATTTAAATTATTATTCACACTGAATTTATGATAAACAACTGGGTTGGAGAGCATGAGATTTTTTTTTTTTTTGCATTACAGTACTCACAATTCAGAGTGAAAATATAGCTGACATGAAAATAATAAGGAGAAGGAGGAGAAGAATACAACAACCATAATATATAAGTTGTAAGTCGATGATAAACTTCAACAAATAAATGAACTAATTAAACTATGATTATTTAAAAATGAAGTGTATAAATATATTGTAGAATATTTGTTTTACTGAATTAGCAGAAAACAAAGGATTATATTTTTTTCATTACAGTACTGACAATTCAGGGTAATAATAATAAATGCAAGTACTGAATTTATGACAAAAATAAACTGTAAAACATTAAAGGAAGGAAGGAAGGAAGGAAGGAAGAAAGAAAAATGAAGAAAGAAAGAAAGAAAGGAGGGAGGGAGGGAGAAAGACAGGACGGCAGGCAGGCAGGCAGGCAGGCAGGCAGAAAGAAAGACATACAGACAGACAGAGAGAAAGAAAGAAAGAAAGAAAGAAAGAAAGGAGGGAGGGAGAAAGGACAGGACGGCAGGCAGGCAGGCAGGCAGAAAGAAAGACATACAGATAGACAGAGAGAAAGAAAGAAAGAAAGAAAGAAAGGAGGGAGGGAGGGAGAAAGACAGGACGGCAGGCAGGCAGGCAGGCAGAAAGAAAGACATACAGATAGACAGAGAGAAAGAAAGAAAGAAAGAAAGAAAGGAGGGAGGGAGAAAGGACAGGACGGCAGGCAGGCAGGCAGGCAGAAAGACAGACAGACAGACAGACAGAAAAAGAAAGAAAAGAAAGAAAGAAGAAAAAAGAAAGAAAGAAAAGAAAGCAAGAAAGAGCAAGAAAGAAAGAAAGAAGTCTTATTTTATCCAAAATATTTTCTTTTGATTCTGGGGTGAAATATGACCCAAACACTACAGTCACGTTCCTTCATTTGTACACTGCAGCTGTAGTCAAGTCCTTCACAATCAGTCTCCATGAAGACTGTAAATGATTGTATGTTTGTGTGCGCAAGTGTGTAAATGCTACCTCCACGGCTAGGCTGTGGTCAGACATAGAGACGCTGGTGTTGCGGTGCCAGCACACATGCATGGTGGTGTTGGCCCTGTGGTGGCTCTGCTTGTCCAGAGAGCAGCGGGAAGAGTTCATGTCATCCTCTGACTCCTGCTCCAGAGACACTTCATCTGATGATCCTTACGATTGTGCGGTGGGAGAGGAAGAAAGGAGGAGAGGGGAGAGAGAGGAGGAGCAATGGGAAGGGATGGGGTTTACATCTACTTCAGGATCAGTGATAAGGAGGCTAAGGGACAAAAACACATCACTTCCTGCACAGTGGATGAATACATTGTAAGCAGGCTTCAGATACTTACTGTTGGAGCGATCACACGGGCTTTGGTCCAACAGAAGATCTGATTTCGCCTGACATTTCTTTGACATGTCAATAGCCATGTTCAGATCTTCAATCCATTTGTTCATCTCTACTTTGGAGCTGTGGAGGAGAAAGAGTGTCTTACTGAAAGATGATGTACAGCAAAATTCTGTCATCATTTACTCACTCTCAAGTCCTTTTTTCTTTCTTCTGTTGAACATAGACGATATTTTGAAGATTGTGGGTAACAGTTAATAGTGCCCACTGACTTTCCATAGCGTGGAAAAAAAAATACTACGTATGTCAATGAGGACCAGCAACTGTTTGGTTACTCACATTCTTCAAAATATCTTTTGTGTTCAGCAGAAGAAGAAAAAAATTGGAACAACTTCAGGGCGAGTAAATGATGACTGAATTGTTATTTTTAGGTGAACTATCCATTTAAAAGAAATGTTTATTTCAATATAAAAATAATATAATACTACTTTTAATTTTAAAAAAAAATCTAAAATATTTTTTTACTATTTTTGAATAAGTCTCTTATGCTCACCCAGGTTAGATTTATTATTATTATTAATACTGCGAAATATTACAGTTAAAAAACTTCAATTTTATTATATTTTTATATATGCAATTTAAATTTGATGTAATTTATTCTTGTGATGGCAATGCAGAATTTTAAGCAGCCATTACTCTCTTACTCTCATTAGTCTTCAGTGTCACATGATCCTTCAGAAATTATTATAATATGCTGATTTGGTGATCAAGTAACATTTCTTGCTATTATCGGTTGTGCTGATTAATATTTTTGTGGAAACTGTGATACATTTTTTTCAAGATTCTTTGATGACCAAACAGACAGATTTATTTTTAAATAGATTTGTTTGTAAAAATATTAATATCTTTACTGTCATGTTGCATTCTTGCTGAATAAAAGTATATAAAAAAACCTTACTGATTCAAAACTTTTTTAATAGCACAAAATACAATAAAGGTGTCTAATATTATTTAATTGCATTTTAAAATATATTTGTTATTACTGTTTAAACCTGATCCAATGATTTCAACAGGCTGCCAAATTGTTCAGTAACACTTTATTTTAAGGTGTCCTTGTTACACGTTACATGTACATACTATTATAATAACAATAAATGATGCATTATTGCATGCAAGTAACCCTAAACCAACCCCTAATCATATAGTAAGTATGTGTAGTTAGTATTTCTCAGTACTTAAATGTATAATTACACTGTAAGAAGGACACCTTAAAATAAAGTGTAACCTACTGTTCTTTATTTTTTTAACATTACTTAATTTTTTTTTTTTTAAATCGCTGGAATGAAAAAGTTCATAGAATAATTAAGGACTCGAAACCCAAATTTCTCAACCAAATCAAATCAAAACTTCATCAGGATTCCCAGTCCTACTTAAACACAGTGTGAAAGCACTTTCTTTCATATGCACGTACCTAGCTGCCACCACAATGGTCCTCTGAGCAGAATATATGGTGAAACAGTGAGGAACAGACCACTCATTCTCACTCTCCTCCACCTGCAAAACATTTAAACACAGTCCAGAGAGAGGCCTGCCAGTTAAACTTAAGGGATCTGTACGACTAGCATTCTTTGGGATAATGTGACTGATCCCATCCCAAAGTGTCAATAATCTACTTGTTAATATCCTGTCTACTAGCAATCCTCATTTCTATTGATGCTGGGGAGGGACAACAGAAGGAGCTGAGAGGGAAATGCAAAGGCGAGGTGTGGGAGTGGAGGATTTTGGGATTTTCTTCATACTCACCGGAGCGTCCAGCACAATGAGCTGCAGGCAGGAGCGAAGCATAGACAAGTCCATTGGAACAGTATGTACTGTAAATGCGTTTCTCATTTGGTAATAACTGTTCAAAAATTCAGAGTTTGGGAAAATGTTTAAATGTTTTTGAATGCAACCCCTTATGTTCACCAAGCCTGCATTTATTTGATGACAAACACCGTAAATACAGTAAAACATTGTGAAATATCATTACAATTTAAAACAGCTTTTCAATTTTTTTATATTTTAAAATACAATTTATTTCTGTGATTGCAAAACGGATTTCTCAGCACTGTTTTAGGTTGAAAACAACCCAGCCTACTCCTCTCCAGTCCTTAACAGTTGTAAACAGCTCTTGTAAGTTTATCTTTGAACATGCATCTTGTATGAATTGTGGGCCAGGACAGCATGTACATTCACATTTTAGCTAACGGCAGATACTACAAATAAGGCCGCTGCTTTACGAAAACAAAGCTAAGATGCGAGAAAGTGCAGACGTTTAGAGGAAAATGCCAGTGTAAACGTCTTTTATCACTGCCTTGCCTGTGTACTTTCATCTGAGAGTTCCCCAGCAAGCCACATTAATTCTAACTTCACTTAAAAACAGCATGCTACTGAGAAAGCCCTATTCTCATGTTTAAAAAGATGGACAAATCTTCTCAACATAGCACTTGTGTTAGTCATTTGTTAAAAGGCCTTTTAAGGCAAGCTGGTTGACATGAGAGATGAGACACTGATGAGACACTGAAGTTGAAGTGTGTATACTTTCTTTGCAGGGTAAAAAAAAAAAAGTTTCACTTTCATCTGTCAAGCAATTATGATCATTTAGCTTTTTAAAACATGTATATTATGTTGAGAACAACTTCTGTACAAATGTGACCCTGGACCACAAAACCAGTCTTACGTCGCTGGGGTATATTTGTAGCAATAGCCAAAAATACATTGCATGGGTAAAAATTATAGATTTTTCTTTTATGCCAAAATATCATTAGGATATTAAGTAAAGATCATGTTCCATGAAGATATTTTGTCAATTTCCTACTGTAAATATATTAAAACTTCATTTTTGATTAGTAATATGCATTGCTAAGAACTTCATTTGGACAACTTTAAAAGGTGATTTTCTCAATATTTAGATTTTTTTTGCACCCTCAGATTCCAGATTTTCAAATAGCTGGATCTCGGCCAAATATTGTCCTATCCTAACAAACCATACACCAATGGAAAACGTACTTATTATTGATGTATAAATCTCATTCATGACTGGTTTTGTGGTCCAGGGTCACAAATGTGATGAGTGAATCTTATGAATCAAAAACTCAAATGTAAAAAAAAATAAAATAATCTGGTCACCATCTACTGGTGTAGTAATGGAACAAAGAAAGAATCATCAAAACAATCAGTGAACAAATCTGAGCCTTTTTCCTGAATAGAATCAAAAGATTCTAGTCAGGGATTAATCAGAATTGAAGTAGTGGACACACACTGCGTCCGAATATGCCTGATACTTTACTATCCCATAAGGCCACAGGTCGTGCATGGCAGGTAAGCGACACAACTGATGGGTCGCATAAAAGCATGGAGGACGTAGTACAACCAGACCGCATTCATACTACACACACTATGTCAATTATTCTATGTAAAACAATTATTTAACAGTGAAGCTCTTCATCAAATGTAGTACCAACTCAGTATGTGTTTTCAGGCAAAACAATAGTATGTCAGGTAATGCCAAGATATGCCGATTTATATTTGGAGCTGACTTTTGATTCCCAGAACCGCCGAATCAAAGAATCAATTCCTTTTGGCATTGATTCCCAGCCCTAACTGAAAGTCATTCGCTGAATTGAACATAACAATTAGTCACGTCAAATCCAACCTCTAGACATTTGATTTCATGATTTGTTAATGCTTTTCTGATGCCTGTGAACACAAGCCACTTAAAAGAAGCTTGGGCCAAGGATTTTGGTATAGACCCGTCTGATGAAACATGGAATGAACGTCTTAGTAGGATCCAATATTGTTCAATAAATGCTTGACATAGGCTGATCCAGTTTAAGGTAGTGCATAGATTGTATTATTCCAAAGTTAGACTAAATAAAACATACAATACTATTTCTCCAATATGTGATCAATGTAAAACAACAGAGAGCTCCCTATCGCATCTGTTCTGGTTTTTTCCTAACCTGTTTGATTTTTTGAGTAGCATTTTTGACTTTTTTCAAAGGTTTTACAAATCATGTGACAATGTTCAGCATACTGCTGTTTGAAATGTGCATCACTGCATAACGCTTACTGTTTCGCATGCCACAGCAGTACACAGTGTACTTCATTCAGTATGCAGTTTGCTAGTATTCCATTCAAAAGTAATTTCTGGGAACACTCACAATCATCCCATGCAGAGGAAGCTGTCCATGAACTTTGAACTGATTGGTTGCAGTCACCCCTTTGCTTGTGTACAACAGCATGTCTGAAAACTTAGATGGAAAAGGTTTTGGTCAACACAGGCAGAAGTTAAAATCAAAACTGCCAAAATAGAACAAAAGCTCAGTCTTACAAGAAAAAACATCCTCTGCTGCAGACCCTTTTTGGTGAGCTTGTAGAGACAACCTTCCCTGATAAATTCCTGGAGGAGGAGCAGGGGGAAAAATTAACTGGGTAGCAGACAATCAATTGTACTTTGACATGTTTGTCCCACAACACTTAATGACTTTAATTAATTATAAAGTGGAAAACTGCAAATCCAATTTCCTTGTTTCTCTGGAACTCTTCATTTTGTAAGATGCTCATACGTAAGGCTGAATCAATGACGTCTCTTGTATTCCTTCCAAGCTCTAACCACTACATTACTATCATCCTGCCAGCGGTGTACCACAAATCTTTAGGCAGAGAAATGAGACGAAGACTGCCATGACAATGAGTGTTTGTATCGAGGTTAAATAACTTTTCCAGTGAAAAACATTGCTGTTATTTTGGGTATTATAACCCTCTTTTAAATACCTTTCTCGATAATTTGTCTATTCTGAGTTCGGTGATCCTCTAGCTCAGATTTATCTTTTATCTTTTAGACTTCTGCCACATAAAAAGTGTAAATCTAGCAATGCATAGTTACATTTTATACGACTTTGTAAAATACCATGACCATAGTATAATTGGCTCATAACTTTGTAACCGGCTTTAGGGCTGTAAAAAAAAAATAAAAAATTAGAATTTTGAATATTCGTCAAATTTAAAATAAAAATCCACATTCTTATTGCATTCGAATTTTAGGTGTGCGTCAGGCAGCCTTAACAGTGGCACACGGAATGCGATAACGTAAATGTCATTGCATTGTAATGTTTTTCAGAGCTTATCCAGTTGAACCCAATAGATGTGGCGCTGCTACGTTGTTCATTCAAAATATTGCGGAAAAAGAGAACATCAATGCAGAGATGTTGTTTACGGCAAAACTGAAACCAAGCCGTTCACACAGAACGCATATTTATCGCATTTTCAAGAGGAACATCTATTACCGTTGCACTTGCATCTCGCACAAGAGAGACACATTTAGAAAGCCATGTAAAATGAATGTAAGTTCAACTTTTAAAAAACATGTCTCGAGGCTTTATGCCGGTCTTTCCCCATCCCACTGCATCTCATGTTTTTAAATGAATAAAGTACTCTTTGTGATTGGTTTTCGGTCCTTTGTATTAAACTATACATACATGCATGATGCTGTTTTGTTTCTAATTGTTTAAGCACCTTTATTCATTATATATGGTTTATAAACATTATGCACTTTTTTCAAAGATAGACGTGTTATTTTATTCCTTTGAAGAAACGAGCATAAGTAATATTTTGCTCGATGCGCCCTTTTGTGGCCTCAGGAGAGAAGCCAAAAGCTTTTTTCCCCCCTAACTGAAATTATGCCTTTTAAATTCGAATATAATTTGAATATTGATAATATTTAAGTACAAAATTCGAATTGAGTTTTTCAGCCATTTTGACAGCCCTAAACGGCTTCCCCCCTGGAAGGAGATATTCTGGATGCCAGTTCATCCACCCACTTTGATGAACCAAAATAAAAATAAAAATGTACAAGGTAACAACTCACTCTTCCCGGAGCTGAAAGGTTCTCAATGCCAATCAGATCCCTCTGAAGTTCTGTCAGCTTCTGAAAGTTCTCCAGTCGAATCAGACTGCTCTGCAGCTGAGCAGCAATCTCTGCAACTTCTTTCAGAGCCTCTGCAAAAATTGAATGTGTAAGTTCATTATCATGCTCAGATCTTAAAGAAAAGTGATTGTTCTACTAAAAAAAAATATAATAATTTAATGATTTAGCTTGTAGCAGGCTCACCTTTGCAGTCATCGTAGTCTCTGTGCTGGGGGGCAAAAGTTCTCCAGTCGAATCAGACTGCTCTGCAGCTGAGCAGCAATCTCTGCAACTTCTTTCAGAGCCTCTGCAAAAATTGAATGTGTAAGTTCATTATCATGATCAGATCTTAAAGAAAAGTGATTGTTCTACTAAAAAAAAAATTATAATTTAATGATTTAGCTTGTAGCAGGCTCACCTTTGCAGTCATCGTAGTCTCTGTGCGGGGGGGCGTAATGCTTACACAGACGCTCCAGGATGAGTTTGTAGTGCATGAGTCTCTGGATGGGCTTCAGCAGGAAGGTGTTGAGGGGCAGGTAGCACACCTTCTGCAGCTCAAACTCCTTATACACAGTCTCCAACTTCTTCACACGCTTTGTGGCTTTCTCAAGCTCTGTTAACACCTCATCATGCTTCTGCAGATAGCCTGTGAACTCCTGAGATTATGAAGGCAACAACACCATCCCAAATGATGGATGATCTGAATACTTGCACCAATAATCAAATTCAAATTAAAGTCGTTCTTGCTTGTAGAACTGAACTATAACCTCACCTTCAGAGCACACATGTTGCGCAGCATAACATCTCCAATTCGTTGGTAATCTCCTTTTACATGAGCGTTAGAGCGCCCCTCCCTGTGAACATGTGAAAATGATCAATGGCTGAGACAAAACAGGATTGCCGTAATGAACCTATAGGCAAAAATCATAGTTAATCGGTTTGTTAATAGCGAGAATTGGACCTTAAAATAAAGTGAGACCAAATTTTTCTTGCTAAAAAGTATTATCATCAATCATAAAATAGAAGGCATGTAGTAGATTGTATACAACAGATTTTTCACGGTTTTTGATTATGTTGATAATTTAGAGGCCTTGTGTATCAAATACAATGAAGTAGGCTTTATATGGTAAAATAAATTAAAATTTGTGTAACACTGTCATATGCCAACAAGTTGCAATTTGATAAATAAGAACTGGTACCAGAGAGCCAGCCTTTGGTCAATCTCTTTGAGAAAGCCTCTGTGGAACTCATAGATGGGGTCAATGTTGGAGAACAGGAGGGTCATGAGACCCTCAGGCATTGCGTTTTCTTTAATCACTGCACTGCGGAACCACTGAGGACATACACAGAGAGAGAGACACACACACACACACACATACGCGCACACATCAATGTGATTAGACGGTTCAAAGGCAAAAGACCATCTAAATTAAACATCAAAAGATCATACACACAGCTAATTGACACCATACAGGATACATTGTACAGACAAGCCTCACACACTAAACAGGATTCATGAGCACAGACCGCTCTGCTTACCACTGTGATGACCTCCAGATCCTTCAGGTAAGTCCGCTCTGTTGTCAGAATCTCTTTAGCAATGAAGTAGGCTTTGTCGGTGGGATATCTCTGGAAATAAAAGCATACTTAAAACCACTCTTAGATAAGCTGAATTAAACCCTCTAAATACCATTTAATTTGGCAAGTTAATTTATCTATTTTATGTTCTATGAAATTAATATGGAATGTAGAACATAAAAAGTTCATCCAGAACACAGAAAAAAGAACTTAACTTTGAAATTAATATCTAAACTTAGAACTTAGATTAACTTGGAACCTAGAATGTAGCGTAGACCAGGAACCTAGAACTGATAAGTTGACAAAAACTAACATTGAAATTAAACTTCAACTCATACAGTTGAACAAAAAAGTTCAAAGCTTAGACCTTAAAAGTTATATGTAGACCTAGTACCAAGAATTTATCTACGAAATTCAGTTATATTATTTACTTAGAACTTAAAACCTACAATTTAAATGTAGAACGCAAAACCCAGAAATGAACATAAAAACGAATGTAGAAGTTAACCTTGAATACACAACCTAGAATTTACGTAAGTAAAATATTAGCACAGTTCAGAAATAAGAAGTTAAAGTAGAGCACAGAATTTATCTTTGGAATTAATGTAAACCTTCAAACATAGAGGTTAATATAGAAATTCATGTAGAAGTTAGCCAAGAACACACTGTACAACCTCACACACCAAACCTAAAATTGAACTAAAATAGCATATTTTTGAACTTAGTAGGTTAATCTAGAACCTTGAACTTATAATACAGAACTTAGAGCCTAGAAATTAAAATAGAACTTAAAACCCATAAGTTAACATTGAAACTAAGGTAAAAATTTACCTCAATCACATAACCTAAAATGTAACATTTAACTTACAAGTTTAACATAGAACATAGAATGTAAGGTAGAACCTAGAACTCATTTTAACCTAACTTCAATTAACTTGGAAATATTTCATTTAATATTGCAAGATACTGTTGCATATTTAAAGTGTCAATGTCTAATAAATCTATCAAAGTTGAGGGGTGTGGCAGGGGGTTATTTTAGGTTGGCTGTGCACACCAAGGTTAGCAAAAAGTTTAAAAAGCGTCTTAATCAACCCTAAAATCACAGGGTCATTGTCATAACCTACAATCTAGCAAGTCCCATCAAAGACCACGCAAGCCAAATGGTTCTCTCTCATTTCTTCAAACTTAATCAAATCCAAGGATGCCCTGAGCTGGGCTTCAACAGTAAACTTTTTGAACTCTTATTCAGGCCCGGGCAGGTTGGCATGCGATCAGTGTACCTTCCTGCTGCCCTCTTCGTCTTCCTCTAGTCTGGCAGTGCCCACCTCATTCAAGATGGGGCTCTGCAGGGGTGAAGGTGCCTGGCCGGGAAGACTGAGAGTGGACATCTGGAAAGAGGGCGACAGGCACAGAGGACCCTTGGTGTTGAGGGGAGAGGGCTGAGGGCTGTCAGTGGTAGAGTCTACGGGATAAAAAAAAAAAGGAAGAACATTAATACTGTTGAGGCCAGTGTTGGGGAAAGTTACTTTTAAAAGTAATGCATTACAATATTGCGTTACTCCCTAAAAAAGTAACTAATTATGTTACTTAGTTACTTTTCATGGAAAGTAATGCGTTATATTACTTTTGCGTTACTCTCGTGTTACTTTTTAAATATAAGCAGGGCTTGATTGTTTTTAATATAAGAAGTTCTATTTATAGCAAATATAAAAGCCCTTTCACACCAAAAAGTGTAATGAATAAACCTCAGGCTGAAGCAACAGTAAATTCACGTCTGTACAGTAGAACGCAGGAGAAGAAACACTCTTCAGCAATAAAAAAGACAAAGCACAAGGGAGAGAAGGGGTCCGGAGCCGGGGTTTGGCAGCCAGCCTGAACAAACACACAGGCAGCACTCTACACTAGAACGAGGCTGTGGAATGTAGCATAAGAAGAGTATCTGAAACTCAAGACTCAGACTCATGCTAGATTGTGTTTAGTTTCACATTTTGTATCGAATCCTATTGGTAGGTCATTAGAGTTATAAACTATAGATGATAAATGTGTATCAACACCGTTTAACAGAAACGTTTTGTTAAGAAATACAATTTTAATATACACAATATGCATCCCGAGTTATTCACAAACTGTACTGTATACCAACTTGTGTACAGTATCATCTATTGGTCAGAAATGATCTGTTAAAACAAATGTAAAATATAGATACAAAGGACAGGATTTATTTCACTATTTCAAAGGTATGACTTTAAGCTACTTAACTTATCTGTTAAGCACAGATAATGAAGACCAATGTTTTTATTGTTAACTAAAACTAAACTTGCTAAAATCATTTTCAGCAATTAAAATAAAGCTAAATTTAAAAAAATAAAAATCAAAAAAGTTTCCTTGGCAACTGACTGAAATATGTTTAAGTACTAAAATCACTCAAAGTAAAACCAAAATAAAAAAAAATACAAACAAACAAAAATAAACAAAACAAGAGATTTCTAAAACTAAAGGGGAATTCAAAATATTAATAAATACTTTTATAGTATAGAATTAATACTAAAATAACACTGATTACATTTGTACTGAAATCCTACATTGAACATTGATGAACCAAAAAGAAATCAACATAGAGGGCAAGTGGACATCTGGGGCCCGTTCTTCGTACGTCGCTTATTACATCCGAGATTAAATGTCACATCCAAGATGATATCATCGCGCTAATCAGGATCTGGCTAATTTGGTTCTTCGAACGCAGCTGTTGTTGATGATTAGTATGGCTGGATTGAGTTATCTGAGATAACTGCACGTTCATGGGTTGGTTTAAAAGGGGTTATGTATCGATACTCGAGACCACGATCAGCAATGCAGCGATTGGCTGGCGGCAAGACAGCAACGTAATGACATCATATAATTAAAAAAGACACCTGACGAAAAACTTGACAAATTTCTGGACTTTTATAAGGAAACAGCCAACTGAACAAAACTACATAAATGTTATAATCGATAAATGAAATGTGCACTGTTTTTATTTTATTTTCATTTTTTACATGATTCCCAATTATTTATATTCACGATTTCTAATATTTGTACAGGCTTTACATTTTTATTTCAATGTAGTAATTAGCAATTCATTTAATTTTATATCTGAACAGATTTGTTACGTGACAGCACTAATTAAAGTTTCTTAAGGGTCAAGATCATGTTATCTGCATCTCCTGAAGTTCCATCAAGCCACTCCCATAATATCTGTCACCACTCAAATTAATGCACGACTCTACAGTATCTGTATAGCATGTGTGTAAGACTCGAACACAATTATGAAGTAATAATTTTATGACGAATAAAACTTTCAGTGAGTAAAACTGGCTGTGTCTATAGTATTAAAGACTACACAACATTATTATATTATTTTTAAATTAATTTTTAAATGATTATTTTAAATTGTCTCTGGATTAGTAGGGTACTCTTGTAATAAAAAAGCGGTGGTAGCGGACAGATTTTAAGTATCAATTCTGCTTAAAAAGATGCAATCTAATCGAAGAACGGGCCCCTGATATGGGCTCAGCATTAGCACGGTTTACAAATTCAGCTAATTTTTTTCCTGATGGCTAGTACAGTATTTGCAACCACGTTCTCTTAAGATTTTTACAAGCTAAAACGAATAAAGTTACTTGAATTAGTAACAAAAGACCAGGGCATTATCCTTGAATTGCGAATTATTCCCTTATTTGTAACATTTAACATATAGGTAGAAGGATTCAAAATGACACATTGGCTCCCACTAGTTTTAGCATTGCTCCCACTTTCCTGCCCATCGGCTCGTTTTTCCTCTAGTATTTTAGTTCAACCACAAACTCTGAAAGAAACTATGATAAATAGGTGGCTCAAGATGTTGTTGACACTGGCACTGATCCATGCCATTGAGAACAGCTCCTTAAATATAGAACTAATCAAAATAACACTGCAAACCACAAATCCTGAAAAACCCATTAAGGTCACAAAAAAAAAGCATTCCAGTCGTTTAAGAAAACTGTATTGGGTTTTAATGAACACCATATTATAGTTGCAGTAGGTAAGGTATGGACACAGGTTATTACAGGGGCTAATGGAGTTTCTGCTTTTAAAGTAATTTGCTGCACTTAAATTATTTTTTAAATGGTCCAAAACAAAAATAAAAAAAGCCTGAAATCCCAGTTACCCAAAAGGTAACTTAATTATGAAACGCACACACACTTAAGTACACTATTTTCACATTAGTACATTAAGGACCTTGTATTTATATAGCTCTTAATTTCAGAATTAAATGGGGAAAAATTACAAATAAAAAGTATACTGAGGAAGCACAAAGCAAAGCACAAGGCAGGTAAAGAAAGGCAAATCTGGTCAGGTTCTCTTTTGTCATCAGATCCCCCAAAGCACTAGGAATACCAATTTTTTTTGTATTAAAAACATATGCAGTATTGTGATCCATTGTTACTTAACTTTGTAACTTAATAGCATTTCTATTTGAAATACTTTGAACGTTTACATTAAAAGCCTAAAAAAACAACCTCTGCAAAAAACATATATACGTGACCCTGGACCACAAAACCAGTCTCAAGTCGCTGGGGTATATTTGTAGCAATAGCCAAAAATACATTGTATGGGTCAAAATTATGGATTTTTCTTTTATATCAAAAATCATTAGGATATTAAGTAAAGATCATGTTCCATGAATATATTTAGTACATTTCCTACTGTAAATATATTAAAACTTAATTTCTGACTAGTAATATGCATTACTAAGAATTAATTCGGACAACTTTAAAGGCGATTTTTTCAGTATTTTGCTTTTTTGCACCCTCAGATTCCATATTTTCTCGGTCAAATATTGTCCTATCCTAACAAACCAGACATCAATGGAAATCTTATTTATTCAGCTTAATTATGACATATAGACTAAATTGTCGAATTGAAGAAGAAAATACTTCAACAAATTATAATACCTGAATCATTTCGAAAAAGCTATTTGATAAACGGCAGAAATTTCAATAAATCAAACACAAGGCACAAGCAAATAGTTCCTAAACTTGAAGTAAGAAATGTTCACTACATTCATAGAAATGTGCCAAAACTGGATGTACTGTTAATGATAGAAACATTTTACTTTATCGAACCATAATTGTTACTGTGGACAACTGACTGTCACTCCGGTTTCTTTAGGTGCACATGCTCCTTACGTGCATACAATATGCATGAGCTTAGGATTCAAGCTCTAGATTACATTCACTTTCTTAGCAGTGGTATTGATAGCACATTACAATACTCAACCACTTACATTCTTTGATGAAAAGTAAAAAGCTATGCTACTGTTCAAAATTTTGGGGTCTGTGATTTGTATGTTACAAAATACTTCTATTTCAAATGCTGTTCTTTTCAGCTTTGTTCATGAAATAATCCTGACAAAACTGCATTATGCAAGTAGCACAACTGTTCTCAACATTGACAATAAAAATGTTTCTTGAGCACTAAATTATATATATAAGATATTAGGGCTTGCCCCCTAATAGTCGACTAACCGTTAGACGACCAGAAGAGGCTTAGTCGACCAAAATGTTCTTAGTCGCATAATAAAATAAAATTATAAATAAAATAAAAAAACATCCACAGGCAAAGTCATGCAGTTCGTGACAGACAGATCATTAATGGCTATTCTATGGAAATACATTACATCAGTGAGGCCATCTAAAAACTCATCTATAATTCATCGACCTCAAATATGGCTTATCATCTGAAATATGTAAGTATTAGCAACTTTACATGGCTGCTCAATCTAATGTTAACCTAGAGAAATGTGCGCTATTGTGTCTGTGTGGAGTGTAGAACCTGAACAGTAGCGCACTCACTGCAGGCCAGATGGAGGTGCCGGTGCGCTCACTTACTATTAAAATAGGCTACTCTGTCATTTTTGGTCATTCAGATAAGAGTAATACATCTTTCAAATCTGTAAAGATTCTACGTTTATTAGTGTGCACTCACAATAACAACAAAATGCGCTTTTGTAAAATAATGAAAGCAAACAGGATGCGCTTTCTGCCGTCTCGGTCTCTCTGAACTTGAGCATGAAACTCTTATTAGCGTTGTTATTTAGTTGAGTTTTTCTGTAAATTCCATGCATTACCATTTGAGATTGAAACAGTCTGAATTTGGTTTACCAATAAAATGCATTTATTCTATATTTGACTTTTGAACGATATGTGCACGTATCTATCAGATGATCGCTGCCCAGTATGTCTGCATTCACCTCCACTCTTCACTTCGTTCTGGAGTAATCTCGAAATTATCACGCAAAGAACAATATTCGATAAGTAAAAATGTCAGCAATTCTGAGAGAGAGGGGCTCAAAAAATATAAAACTTCAAATACAAACAACATAAAAAACATGAGTTAGTCAGTAAAATCCCCAGCTATCAGGTTATTTTACTAAAGCTGATGATGGAGTGGAAGTTGTTGGTACAGCAAGTGAACCGGGCACATGGATCAGATAAAAACAGTGTCATCGTCCACACAGATTTTAGGTTAGTTTGATTATTAAATGGAATTCTTTTGTTTTTGTGTTTGAACAAACTATATTCGTTTAAGGGTTGGGAGATAATCCGGTAGAAATACATCAATCGTTGATTGAAGTGTGTCATGATGCGTGTCAATTCATTCTGGTAAATACGTGCATTAAGACCGTTTCAGCCTGATTCGTGCGGCACGCACCTGCTCGTATAGCGACTGACTAAACTTTCGCTCCTTGTGCTTAAACGTTCAAATACACATAGTTATGTGTCAAAATGCCCGTCTTTGCGAGTATCCTCATAAACACAGTTATTTGTGTCTTAAATGAACGTTAATACTTAAAGATAAAGCATGTGTAGGCCTATATGAGATCCTGGATTATATGATGAGATCTTAAAAGGATAGTTCACCCAAAAATGAAGATACCAGTAACCAGTTTCTGGTCCCCACTGACTCCAATAGTGTATTTTTTTTTCATATATGGAAGTCGTGAGGGCCCAGCAACTGTTTGGTTACCAGTACTGTTCCAAATATATTCTTTTGTGTTCAACAGCAGAAGTAATCTTATACAGGTTTAGAACATCAACAAAATTTCATTTTTGGGTGAACTATTCCTAAAATTGCCTAAATTCCTAAAGTAGCCTAAAATAGCTGTTGTTGCCATTTGTGTCAATAATGTAAATCAAACATCAGAAAGAAAATGACTTACTGTCCTTGACTGAATCACTTTTGTAAAATAAATAAAGAATGAATGTATATTGAATTTATACAGTGAAGACTATTCAGTCTATTTACACATTTTCTTTATACAATATAATATTTATTACTCAGTTTTTTAAGTTCTTCAAGTAGGCCGATTTTTAAAAATAATCTTTGTTCTGTTGTGGCCTAATTTGTGACTGTTTACTTGTCTTCAGTAAGCTTATTTTTACTTAGGCTAGTATTATTTTTTGTGATATTGAAATTGGTAAGAAAAATTATGAAATTTCAGTGCATCAAGAATTTTGATATGGGATAAAAATCCTATTTAAAGCTTTATATATATATATATATATATATACATGTATATATATATATTTTTTTTGTTTGTTTTTTTTTTCCGTGAATGTATTGTGACAAGTTTGTACATAATGGATACTTGTCCTTGTGTTGTATACACACCTTCTGTGAAAATGAATTTCCTCTCTGAGGACAAATAAAAATGATCTATATATTATTGTTGTGATGGGGGGTCCTGCAGTAAGTCATAGCCCCGGTGCGGTCTTAATGCGGCCCTGATGTAGGCAATTGAAAGCTCATTATAATGATTTAAACAGTTTATTAATAAACATGCGATTAGTCGACTAATGCTTCAAATGAACGACTACTAGTTGACCAGAAAAATCCTTAGTCGAGGGCAGCCCTATAATATATATTAAAATAGAAAGAATTAGTTTACATTATAATAATGCCACAATTTTACTGTATCTTTGATCAAATAAATTCAGCCTAATAGACATAATTGTATTAGTTTAACTTATTTCAAAAACATTCAAATAAATCTTACTAAACCCAATATTTTGAACTTTAGTGTCTCTTTTTAGTGTTTATTTACGTGCAGGCCATGGGTTAATGGCTACAATAGTCTACAAACAAAACAATTAAATAACTCACAGGACTACACTGCAAAGCAACATGCACAGATCCAAACTTTTTAAGACAAGTTAAAAAAAGTCAAAATGCTAATTTGAAAGTGAAATTCGCAAATGGCTCAAATTCGATGCCAAAAAGTGTTTTTGTTATACATACATGCAACAATGACCCATCTTTGTCTGTGGAAGTCAGTGTAAATGCAGTCATGTAGCCCAATCAGAATAGCTGAGATGCAATGCATGTCTGAAAGGTAAACAGCAGGGGACAGAGTGGAGCGACTAACTCTAAAGTAACAAAAACAAAAATAACTTCGGCTCAAATTTGCTCTTAGCAGCAATGGCTGTCAGGTCCACAGCTAATTAAATCACAGCCCTGAGTAGAGTGGTTCATTACTGGAATAGATTTGTGCAGTTATCCTGATACAAAAGGTACCTTCATACATGCATGTAAAGCTTATCTTTGTAATGTATATGTTCTCCTTATTCATTTTCATTAAATGAGTTTTGCTTTGAAAATCAATGTTGAATGCACTTTAGGACTCCATGAGGTCAAAACATTTATAGGAAAAAGAATAAAAAAATTCACGTATTGTGGTAAGCTTATCAAATCAAAACTTGACAAGTTAAAATTGTCAATTGAACTTACCCTTTGTTTAGATTTCCATTTGATTGCTTTCAAATGCTGGGTAAGATTTTATTTTATTACTCCATTTTATTTTTACAGCGTGATACTTCAGTAAAATACTTGCTATTCACTTCGATAAGTCTGAGGGATGTTTTCTTTCCCCAGGAAGAACAAGAGCCAGGCATACTAGATGTTTAATCATTTTCTGGATTTAAATCTAGTAAAATAATAATAATAATATTTGTGCCATAATCTTATACGTAATGCATGCAGCCATTATCACATTTTTCCTGCATGCCATGCAGCTCTAATATGGAAAAATATATATATATGTTAAATATGTACTTTTATATGCTTAAAGTGGTAAGGATATCAATTCTAGGTGATACAGCCATTTAATTTTCTTCTTAAAAAGTCACAGTGTAACTTTAGTTTGTAGCCATCCAGACTACTAAGATTAAATGTAAACGGATAATAAGTGATTTAACTATATATAATCTGAATAATGCTAACGAATCTTACTGTCCTACAAGAACTCACAGCACATTATTCAAAAACAATAAAAAAAGAGAATGAATTAACACCAAAGAGAGAGATAGAAGAAGCACACTGGAAAGGGCACGTGAGAAAAAGTGGTAGATTAAAGCGCCAACAGGAGGTGCCAAAACTATAAGTATTGATTTTATCAGGATAAGGTGGACAATTAAGTGCTTGGTCATGTTCTGCATTAAAAACCAATGATAACTGCTGCTGTTTAATGGGGTCACGCTACATTTTAAGATGGGTGGGGCCTGGTGGGGGCTCCCCAATGCCTAGAGCCCTGAGATTTTGGCATTCCAGCAGGAAGCTGTCTAAATCTGCCCCACTCACTAGTGGATTGCTAAAGAAGAGGTTCTGATCTGGAGGCAAATCTCCATCCGACCCCCAGTCGGAGTCGGAATCGGAGCTGCCGTCAGCCGAGCCCTCTGTGGCTGTGGGCGGATAGCTGAGCTGCTCCAGCTGCTCCACCAGATCGTTGAACTGCATGGCTGAACTGTCTTCTGAACGCACTGAATACGCAGGGAAGTTAACCATCGAGCTGGCCTCAGATAGGTTCTCAGAACCAGGCAGACGTAGGGAGGATGAGGAGTCGGGACCTCCGAAACCAAGCGAGAGCGAGTCGACAACAGAACCTAGTGGAAGGTTTTCCAGCGAGCTACACTCGGAGCGGTTGTTGACCATAGAACTGGTCTCGGATCGGCCGAAAGCACTTTCAGGGAACGCGTTAGCGTTGCCGTTGAGGTCCTCGAGGCTGAGAGCGTATGTAGCGGGCTGAACGCCATATTCGAACCTCCCAGGACTCTCTTCGTAAAACCCGTAACCGTAGGCCTCCGCACCGCCAGCGTAAAATGAAATTTCAGCCGGATCGTCATCTATATACTCTTCGCTAACATGCAGCTGCGTGCAGGATATCGGGATCTGGTACGACAGTTGTCGAACGCGCATTAACTCTGCCTCAAACGCTTCAGGTGTGAGGAAGCCTGTTTTCGCCGCACTGCTTACGCCACTCACCCCTACTCGCTCGCTATCCTCATTGCCATTTTGGGAGGGCCGTACACTAGGGAAACTACTCTCTACACACACAAACGAGGGGCCGCAGTCTCCTGCTGCCTGGCTATGAGTGGCACCTGGGAAGGCGTAGGTGAATTCGGAGTTGGTCTTGATGGAGTCCTGCAGCATTGGGCTGGGGGCTCTGGCGGATTGCAGCGTCTGCTGGAGATGCACAGGCTGGTTCGGGGTCTCCATCCGCATGGGTGAGCTGGGGGCATGCAGGGAGTGGAAGGAGGCGGTGACAGAGGAAGGAGGTACTGGAGACCTTAGACTGTCGTTAAAACACAGATTCTGAAACGGATGGGTAAGGTAAAGAGAGTGGAAGAAAACAGAAATCAGTTATTGTTCTTCATGTTGGTATTGAGTCGAGAGATTGATCTAAGACTCTACTGACCTGTTTTGGCACATCAGAAGCCAAGGAACGTGTCGACATGCGAATCTTACTGTTCCTCCTGTAAAAACAGCATAATCAGTGCAAAGACAAACAAGCACCACATCAAAGGGGGTAGATGGTCCAGTATACAGTACAAAACTGCTTTCAGGTGAAACTTTGAAAGAAATATTTACCTCTGGTAAGGAGTTCTTCTCAACCCGCTGTCCCTCACGTACTCAACAAGCTGCTTCTGTGTCCTCCCACTGTCACATATACACAATGCTTTTTAACAAACCAAGTAAAAGCTACAATTTGTAAAAAGTTTAAAAGAAAAGCTGTTTTTTAAAAATAGAAATGTATAGTAATCATCAATTTAATGTGACGTTGCTAAATATAAGTATTAATTATACTGACTCCAACTTTTAAATGGTAGAGTACCTCACAATATATGGAAAAATTACAACAAAAAAAACCCTAAATATACTAAATACTAAAACCACTACAAAAAAAACTTTCAAAAATCTTATATTTGAAAAGTAATGTACAGTGCATTGCAAAAACTTTTTAAATAAATATCAATAAATAGTTGAAAAAAAAATTTAATCACATTTTGGATAATGTTTATGGAGTACTGAAAAACTTTATAGTTCCTTATGTAATTACCTAATGTTAAGTGCAGAGTTACAGATATTACCCAGTTGTACATTACTGTAATTGCACTGATAGTAATTGTGAACCTTTGGTACCGAAAAACTCATTTTGTGACAAACATTTCTGAAAGTAATGCGAAGATTTAGTTAGTTCATTCAGTGAAGGTTTTCTCTGACTGATTTAACTAGTAAGTCTGTTATAGTGGTTGCGCTGTATGTTTATTTTTGCTTTGAACTCACAAGGACAGTCTAGAAAGACAAGGACAGTTCTTAGAAATACTAAGAAGCAGAACAGGAAACACTACAATAACCACAACAGAAAAAATATTTAAACATTTCTTCTAGTACATCACATTAAATAATATATCGCCCACATCAATATAATCACACGTGTGCACCTGTATCTGAAGGAGGATCCTCTGCTGAAGAAGATGGCTTTGGATTTGGGCTGAGGCTGATCTAACAGACGGAAAAACGAGTGATGCTCCACACAGTTCTTCCAGAAGATCTTACACTGATCTCGACTGCCCAATAGAAATTCCAGCGTATCCTGATGAAGACCCTGTGAAACGAAAGGTTGATTAGTCACTGAGAAAAGATTGAACTTAAGAACTTCCATCTCAGATGAAAGGCAACAAGAGGAAACGTATGGTTTTGATTCTTAGCACTCCATGTAATTGATCCCGACAGAATAACAAACGTCACCCTGAATACATTTTAAAATGTTTACACGGGGTAAGAGAAGGATGGCCCCATCCAACCAAGCTCCTGAGCTTGTACATTTTACTTCTACACTTGAATCTGTATGTTCCAGGAATCCACAGACTGATTTCACAGCATTGTATTTCGTCTTTGTTGTCATATTAGACTACATTCTGTCCCCTTTGAATTGAGGCAGTGTGTCTACATGTTTGTATATGTACACATAATAATATTAAATAACAATATATAATGTAAATTTGATACCCACATGAACTTCTGGGTGCAATTTAATTAAAAATTGTTTCCTCTTGAAGCTCAGCTTCCGAATTTTAGACCAGTTGAAGGTGTTAATTTTGGTGTGGCCCTGGGAAAAAAAAAATAAAAACATACATATATACATGTGTGACCACACAACAGCTGAATTTTATATGAATGAACTGCAATAATAATCATGCATTAAAATGCACTAATAATATGACTAAAATAGAGAACGATATGAAAATCAATTATATTTAGTAAGACAATAAAGTTGTGCATGTACCTGAAAGACCTGCAGGCCCATGTGTGCGACAGCCAGGTTGATCTTGGTGCCTTCTCGGTCAGCGGCGGGATGAAAGCGAACCCCATACATCTCCAGTTTACGAGCGATCTCCAGAACCTGAAAATCTGTTTCTGCTGGGGTCTGCCCACTACAGGCGAGGAAGCAAAGACAAATAATGTAGAAAATATTTAACAAATGAAACAGTACCACAGCAAAAATAATTCAAAAGGAAAATGTGGAGTGGTAAAGCATATTTTGTAGCCTAGAATAACATTTACGGCAGAGGTTTTCAACTTTTACATAACCCCACAATTTAAAAGACAAACATCTTCTGTACTCACTAGGCTTGCCGCGATAGACGGTGCTGACGGTGATACCGGTGTTAAGCCGCAACACCGGTTGTCACTTGCCCACCGCGGCACCGACGTTTAGATTTTTTTTACAGTAATAAAAATCATTTAGTTCAGTAAAAGAACAGACACTACAATAAAAAACTGAACGCGGCTGTACGCGAACCTCAGTCGCATCACAGATCAGATTTCATTTATCCAGTGAGGAGAGTGAGTCGAGCTGACTGACAAGAAGAGTGAGGTGAGGTGAGACAGACAAGACGATGGCAGATGATTTAGTTTCTAAACGAAATGGAAAAGTTTGGTAATATTTGGGATTTTGAAAAGCCTGTTGACTTTTGCCGTTTATCTAAGGTGATTTTGGAAGGTTTATTTTAACATTCGTTTCTTATTTAATTGGTTCCACATTGTTTGCTGATTTTCACTTTATTTAAACTGTGTCGTTTATTTTTTTTTACATCAAGGTGTATGCCGTGCCTCCAAGCTTTCTTACTCGTTTTGCTAATAAACATTCTAAGTTTCTTATTTATTTGGTTATATATTATACATGTTTACTTATTTCCAGTTTTGTATACCTATTTAAACTATGTAAGTTATTTGTTATTTTATATTAGGCATAGCCTGCCCTATAACATGGTGTATTTTTATTTGTTTGTAATAAAATATAGGCTAAAGTGAGTTTGACGTTGTATTTTGTTGTTGCATTCAAGCAATTGACGCCGAACTGCTGCTAATTCGAAAGTGAAAGTAAAATGTGCATGGCGCTTTTAAGCTATTTAAAAGCGAAGGAAGCGAGGAAAAGAGGGGAAACGAACTAAAAACGAACAATTGCTTTACGCTGAATTGCCGTTATTTAAAAGTGAAAGTAAAATGCGCACGCAACTTTTACAAGCTATTTAAGAGCGGAGGAAAGCGAGGAAAAGAGGGAATGCCCCCGCGGTGATACCGGTATTACCGGTGTTGTCACACGTCGGTTAACCGGTGGGAGACAGAATATCAACCAAAGAATCCAGAAAAAACACATTATATAAAGGTTAGAAATTTATTTGCATTTCAGTGAGTGAAATAAGTATTTGAAACTCTACCAACCAGCAAGAATTATGGCTCCCACAGACTGGTCATGTGCCCATGTGGAACACAGATTAGTCCTGCCACTTTAAGAAGTTACTCCTAATGTAGGTGTATAAGACACCTGTCCACACAATCTGTATCTTCCATTCCAACCTCTCCCACCACCATGGGCAAGACCAAAGAGCTGTCAAAGGATGTCAGAGACAAGATTGTAGATCTGCACAAGGCTGGAATGGTCTACAAGACCATCAGCAAGAAGCTTGGTGAGAAGGAGACAACTGTTGGTGCGATTATTCGGTAATGGACGAAATACAAAATAACCATCAATCAGACTCGGTCTGGAGTTCAAGATCTTGCCTCATGGGGTAAAGATGATCATGAGAAAGCTGAGGGATCAGCCCCGAACTACACGGAGGAGCTTGTTAATGATATTAAGGCAGTTGGGACCACAGTCACAAAGCAAAACATTGGTAACACAATACGCCGCAATGGACTGATATCCTGCAGCGCCCGCAAGGTCCCACTGCTCAAGAAGGCACATGTACAGGCCTGTTTAAAGTTTGCCAAAGAACATCTAAATGATTCAGAGAAGGCTTGGGAGAAAGTGATGTGGTCAGATGAGACCAAAATTTAGTTCTTTGGCATTAACTCGACTCACCGTGTTTGGAGGGAGAGAAATGCTGACTATGACCCCAAGAACACCATCTCTACAGTCAAGCACGGAGGTGGAAACATTATGCTTTTGGGCTGTTTTTCTGCTAAGGGTACAGGACGACTTTGCATTGAGGGGCAAATAGACGGGGCCATGTACTGTAAAATCTTGGACGAGAACCTCCTTCCCTCAGCCAGAACACTGAAGATCGGTTATGGATGGGTCTTCCAGCATGACAATGACCTGAAACATACCGCCAAGGCAACAAAGGAGTGGCTCAAGAAGAAGCACATTAAGGTCAGGGAGTGGCCTAGCCAGTCTCCAGACCTCAATCCTATAGAAAATCTGTGGAGGGAGCTGAAACTTCAAGTTGCCAAACGACAGCCAAGAAACCATAAGGATTTAGAGAGGATCTGTAAAGAGGAATGGATCAAAATCCCTCCTGTGATGTGTGCAAACCTGGTGACCAACTACAAAAAAGGTCTTACCTCTGAGCTTGCCAACAAGGGTTTCTGCACCAAGTTCTAAGTCATGTTTTGCTTGGGGATCAAATACTTATTTCTCTCACTGAAATGCAAATCAATTTCTAACCTTTATATAATGTCTTTTTTCTGGTTTTGTTGGTTAGTATTCTGTCTCTATATGTTAAAATAAACCCATAAAAATTACAGACCCTTCATTTCTTTGTAAGTGGGCAAACTTACAAAATCAGCATGGGATCAAATAAAGCTTTTCCCCACTGTACATACTGTTTCAAATCAGCTTTGCAGAAAAATACTTGTTTTAATGTTTATACATAAATACATACACACAACACTTTATGTAGGATATAGGTTCTAATAATTTCAAGTAGTTTCTACATAATGTGTGGGGGCTGGGCAAACATATTCCAGTAATGTTGAGCAGCGTTCTGGCTAATCGTGGGCAAATGTTAAGAGCAGTGCCAGATCATCAGCGCACTCTAATTTTGCTCATCCTTTAAGCTGTTCAATCTGCTTAAGCCCCTCCCCTTCCCTTGTGGCCGTATGGCTAATAAAGAGCCTTGAGCCACTGGATTACAATCACAGCCTCACATAGCCACTGACACGACCCACCTGCAATACTTCTCTCACAGCCAAAGCCTCAGATTAAATGCACTGTTACAAAGAGCCAAAAGCACAGGGCTGACACACTTGAGATTTTATAAAAACTGACAACGTTGGTATCATAAAGCATTATTTTTAACATTTTGTGACTCCAGTGATATTCTTAATCCTAGATATGGCACAGAGATCTTGTTCAATGCAAATTAGATTTTTTTAAGCTTGATTTGTCTTCTGCAGGCCAAAAATTCAATTCTAAAGCTCCAATGTCATAGCACACGTTTTTAAGCATCTTTCACGTCTGTACCACAAACGGTGTGGAAAAAGTTACGTCTAACGTTTAATAAGGGAATAGCATGAGCAACAAATGCATCACTACTAATGAAGACGCTGCTAAAACATTTAACTTTACATCATTATTTATTTATCTGGAAGGATGATCCATTCAGAGCTTGAAGAAGGATCATCTGTCCCATATTATCATATAATAGTGTCTGCAAGCTCTTAAAACAACATCTTTCCAAAGTTCAAGCAGAGAGAGAAACTGCAGTCCACCTTTAACTGCTTCTAAATCCAATAAACTGCCACACAGAACAATCACTTACACACTATCAGATCTCTTCTCACCAAATAAACTCGGCACCAAATGGAAACAGACTGTCATTCAAGATTACCAGGGGAGTCTGTATTTAAAGTTCAGTTAGATGTTCAGCTAGGAAAAAAAGGCCTCTCATACCACGCAAATGCTTCCAACTAAACTGGACATGAAAAAGATAAACCTACTTTTGTGCCATAAATTCCCTGTACTGATTCCCGGTGGTCAGCGCAGTGAAATTTACAAATGCAAAGCCTGACAGGCTGAGATAAATTAAAGAGAACAATGCAGAAGCATAGACCATCAGGCCAAAACAATAAATGTCTTACATGTGTCTGCGGTGGATCTCCATGATCTTTTCTTGTACACGTTCCTGATATGGCAGCAATTTATTAATCTTCAGAAACTCCCTGTCTGCTATGTCATCGTAGTCACCGATCTCAGCTGTGTGGGGGAAAGAGAAAGGTAAAGGGTCAAAGACAAATAAGAGTGTCCAAGAAAAAGAAAAGGAAAAACACAAGTTCTTAGAAACAGACTGTTTATGCTGGTTTCATATGGTATTAAAAAACTTTTTTGGTACAAATATTTCTCAATATTATAGTCTTTACTGATCAAATAATGTAGCCTAAGCGAGCATAAGAAACTTCCTTCAAAAACACTTTAAACAGTAGTATAAATGTTATTTTTGGGGGTTGCACCATAAGATATTTTACTACCTTAAATAATCTATAAAAATGTCCAATTATCTGATATTTCAAGAGACTTACTGACCTTGGTACACAGTAAGAAAGATGCAAGAGCCATCTCTACAATACTGTTTTATGATATTTTTCTATCATAAAACATACATATTCAAGCCACTGAATTTCAATTTTAAAGGGGTCATGAACAGAGAATCAAAATTCCCTCGATCTTTTGACAAATAAGACTACATTGTACTTTAAAAACATTCTGTAAGTTTGAGAACTCAAAACTTTCTCAGTTTAAAGCTGCAGTCCCTAGGTTTTTTTGGTTAAAAATTATCTGAAATTAATATTTGAGCAAGTACATAACCAGTCAGTGTTCAAAATTATCGCCTGACTTTAGCCCGATTCACGTTAAACTTATAATAATGTTTTCTAATTTGAGTGGCCACTGCGTCATTAAGTCACATCGGTAAACAAAGAAGTTGTCCCTGCTATAGTAGGCTATTTCACATATGAGGGACCTGCAGGTGGCCCCGGATCATTTATAGACTTTTTTCACAGCAGCTGGGATAATTCAATTTATCATTTTGATGGCGGATTGTAATCCAGAAAGGATTAGGTGTTTATGAAACACAAGTAACTGAAATTAAATACTATTCCAGTTTTAAATGTGCATCTGATTACAGATAGCCTGGGATTACACACAAATTGTATTTTAAAGACAACCAGTTTGAAGGAAGACTAATTAGCTTTTTGGGTTAAAGGAATTTCTTAATATGAAATTTGAATGGTATGACAATTAGAGATTAGACTGTACAGAAATTAAAATCTACATGCTAATACACACTATACTCAGTCACGCAATGCTGATGTTGTTAACATTAACAATTAGAGAACAAAGTATAACAATAATTTGCACGGTTTGATACGCTAATTATGTTTGTATTTGTTTCTCTGTCTTTTGCCACGGGATTAACATCCCGTGGTAACTAGGATTCACACAAGCTTCAGTCTGGATCCACAACACCTGAGAAGAGATGATGCCAACCCCTCAGAGGACCTCAGATGATGCCAACCCTGAAACAACATACAGAACTACCACCTTTTGCTATAAGTTTGATTGCATCATATAATAATTGCTGTTAATATTGTTCATCGTCTGTTTTATTACGTCTTATATTGATTTTTCCGTTCTGCTGGTTCGTCTGGTCAGAGGAGAACTGGCCCCCCGACTGAGCCTGGTTTCTCCCAAGGTTTTTTCTCCATTCTGTCACCGATGGAGTTTTGGTTCCTTGCCGCTGTCACCTCTGGCTTGCTTAGTTGGGGACACTTCATTTCCAGCGTTATCGTTGACATAATTGCAAAGATATTATTTAAACTGAGCTGGATGTTGACATCACTGAATTCAATGATGAACTGTCTTTAACTGAAAAATTAGTGTTTACTATTGTCATTTTGCATTATTGACACTATTTTCCTAATTAATGCTGTTCAGTTGCTTTGTCACAATCTGTATTGTTAAAAGCGCTATATAAATAAAGGTGACTTGACTTGACTTGATATGAGCTAACCGATCATTAGATTTAATCACCATTGGTAGCGTAATTTATTGTAATGCTTTTTACTCAGTTGGTCAGAACAAACGTGGCAGACTTGTTACTTACTTGTTCAGATGACAATATACGGTGAAAATTCTTATTTGGGTCATATATTCCAAGAGGTTAGAATCTGTGATTCCTAAGTACAGTATCCACACTGGTGCGGTCACTGACAGCCACACATACTCCTCTAAACATTAGATTCATCCGCGCTAGAGCTGTGCCGGTGCACAACCCAGGTAATGAAGATAATTGCACAAATACCTGCAAATGTAGGTTTCCAAACAGAGATGGCGACAAAGAAGCAAAACTTATGGACTGCAGCTTTAAAAAACAAATGTTGAAGCCAATCTGCAAAAACGACAGGTTGTGGAATGTGCCACTCTATGACATAATAGTGTGGCTAAACTCCGCCTCCACAGAAGATGATCAACGCCTGCTTCTACATCGCTGCCTATTTAGCCCCGCTAACTGATTCGCACATGTAGTGTAAATAACAAGAGAGGTAAACGCAGGTCTACGCAGAAACCAAATGATAAAGATTGCTCCGAAGACAACGAGACCCTGTGCAGTGTCAATCTGTGGAAAAACACAATCTTTCTTCGTCTTCCTTCTGATCCCAACGTTAGGAAAGAGTGGATGAAGTTTCAGACCACGTCAGTAAGAAATAGGTCCTTTCTTCATTTTACCGTGGATTTGTTTACAAACAAGGCACAATTCGATGCAGGATTTTCAGAAAGACTGAAACTAAAAGATGATGCTGTGCCTACTATATTCGATCCGACAGTAATGTCACAATACACAACTGTGAGCAACTGTTGTTGTTACGTGGTCACTATTGCTTTGTCTGTTATTTCAGATCGTTTTAACCTAAAATCAAAGCAGCATCCATCTGTGAAGGATGCAGGCTGTCAGACATACACAACTGTTAGCCAATCATAGCAGTGGGCGTTTACTTCCAAGTCTACAATCCATTATAAGGGGATCTCAGAGAACAGTAAAAAATAAATAAATAAAAGGGCAATTCATGACCTCTTTAAAGGGGTGCTATTATGCTTTTCCACTTTAGTTAGTCTGTAATGTTGCTGTTTGAGCATAAAAAAGACCTGTAAAGTTACAAAGCTTAAAGTCCAATTCAAAAGGAGATATTTTATTTAACAGAAATCACTGTTCAAAAACTACAACGAGTGACTCGTTTGGACTACAACGCATATTTTCCGGGATTTGTGATATCACAAATATCAACGAATGGGATGAGACCTGGTTGAGCTGCACTAGAGAAGGCAATGAGTGTTATCACTATGTCGGAGACACGCTAGTTTTCCCAAGGTAGACGAACTTAGAGTGGTTACAATCATCCGAGTTCAAATCACGCTCAAATTGATTTGATTTTGACACAATATTTACACTGAAGCTAGCAGGCGGCTACGGTAAGGGGCATGACATTTCCCGACCAGGCGCCGAGTGCTGCCAATCACAACACACACTGGCCCAGCTAACCAATCACAGCACATTTTGTATTTCAGAAGGCGGGCCTTCATATGATACAGGAACTATTCAAGCTGTTCATGCCAGACTGGGGAGAGAGGCGTTGTAATAATGTAAAATATGTGAAAAATAATGTGTTTTTCGAACAACCTAGTATGAGAGCCTGTTCTAGTACACCCCCAAAACAAAATCAAGACTTTGTAAAAGAGCATAATAGGACCC